CACAGTTAGCCGCTTTCGAGACACACACATATGTATATATATATATATGTACAAGCATCAAAATACAAATGAATTTGCAATACATTCGCTTCCCCGATACAAAAAAAAAAATATTTCAATTGTTATAAGTTTAAATTTACATTCGCGTTCCATTTGTGAATTATGTATGTTTAAGAAATAATCAAAATGTTAAAGAATTATAAATACCATAACCACACATAGAAATACTTGCACAGCACAGCCATAAAAGCACCAACAATCATACGCACATCTAATATTATTTAGATATTATTGCCGCCAGTACTACTAACCATTAAACAAATGAAACGTCTCGACTGCGAATCACTTAAACACATAAAAACACTTCCAATACCAATTCGGGAAAAATGTTTAAGCAAAACCAAAAAAAAAAAAAACAACACACAAAATTAACCAAAATAAAATCGTTTAAAACACTAAAGCACTTTTTGGTCGGTTGGTTGGCGTCACTATTTAATTCACAATTGCTTGCTTTTGCCGGCTTTATGAATATGGCGCTTTCGATATTGTTGTTGCACGTGTGGTATATTGTACCGTATTGTTTACTCGTATGCGTACTTTGGTTGGGGCGCGCTTCCACTACTATTTCCCGTACAAAATTCGTTCGTTCGCTTGAGTCGCTTCCGTCTGACTGACTGAAGTTACGAAAAATATTCGACGAAAGCGTGCATAGTAAGCACCACCACAAGACGCTCGTGGCGATTGCCGCATTCAACAGACCAACAACGATTCCAGCCGAACTGTTCCAAAGAGCGAATCGAGTCATCATCATAAAGCAGCAACTGGCTCGACCGGTGTTTTGTTTATTGGTTTTTATTGTTATTATTTTATTATACAAAATTTTGGTTTCAATGCCTTTACATATGGATGTACATAGTATGTACAATATGTATGTATGAAGTTGTGTGTATGCAATAGTTTAGTGGTGTTGGCGCTGATATGACAGAGAGAAATGAAGGAATGCAAAAATACACTGGAAAAGCCTGGAGCCGGCTAGAACGAAGTCTGCGATACTATACATTACGCAGTAGTTAACTCTCAAATAATGTTAACACCTGTAATTGCATATTATTCAAAAGTAAGAGGTAAAGGAAAAACATAAAAAAAAATTTTTTTAAATAAAAAAAAAATGTTTAAATATCAGTTGAGACAAATGAAAAATTTCAAAACGCTATTTTAAAAACTGAGAGAAGTTCGTATATATACATACAGATAGACGGACGGACGGATGGACAGACGGACAGACGGATAACTCAGCTGAACATACTGATCATTTTTATATAGACTTTATAGGGTCTCCGACGCTTCCTTCTGGGTAAAAATTTAATGAGATCAGTGAGACAATATGAAGTAGTGAAATTCATCCTTCTACTTACTTACTTAAGTGAAGGGCACATTTCGTAGACTTTTATGAAAGATAACAAATATTAATTGACTCCTCAAAGTTCCGCGTGGAAAGCTTCTCCTACAAGTAATAACATATACAAGTTCTTTCGATTCGCAGAGAAAATACATGGAAGTAAATTCATTCATTTATAGAGGATGACAGTTGATTCCCAGCACTATGTGAGTTAGATCAGGTTAAGAGCTCGATCTTAACAGGGCATTCATTTGACTAGCTGAGAACACTAGTCCCTTGTGGTACTTAAAACTCATATATCATAAATAATAATAAGACTCTTTCAAATTGATAAAGCTCTTTGGGTCGTTCACAATATTTTTGGGGTGGCTTACATATGTATGTCAGTTTCGACTATGTACTCAGGTTCCACGAAGTCTGAGTATAGTCCACCTAAAACGTATAAGTGTACATATATGCCACAAAATGTTGAAAAATTAAGATTAAAAAAGACTAGTTTAAAATAGTAATAAGAAGGAGCGATTGTATATCGACGAACTAATACCAAACTCTATAAGTCCCTCATTATTCTCCCCAGCTATATGGGGCAGAGGCAAAGGCAATGACAACATCTGATGGTTCGGGGTTACGGTCCTTTGCGCACAGGGAACGGCGATTTCCGCAGTCAATGGAACGATGAGCTGTACGAGATGACATTGACATAGTTGAACGAATTAAGAGACATCGGTTACGCTGGATAGATCATGTTATCCGAATGGATGAAAAAACCCCAGCTCTGAGAGTATTCGACGCAGTACTAGCCGAGGAAAGCAGAGGAAGAGAAAGACCTCCACTCCGTTGGAAAGACCAGGTGGAGAAGGACCTGGTTGCCTTTGGAGTCTCCCATTGGGGTCAAGTAGCGGAAACGAAGAACGACGAAACGAAGATATCTTCTAGAAAATTGGCACGATTATTGCCTCAGACAATATTCAAAAAAAAAATTTTTCAGATCGAAACACAATAGCATATAGCTGCCATACAAACTGACCAATCGGAATTATTTGCATGTGTGATAACGCAGTCGAAGTTCTCTCGATCAACCGCTAGCAAAGTATTGTTTAACAGAAATCTATTTTTTCCACTTGTGCACTTATTCCAGCAGAAGCAATGCTACCCACCAGCACAGCCGCAATTGGCATAAAAATGCCGACACGAAGCGACATAGCGTACGCAACAATTTAATAAACAAATGAAGCAAAACAAAACCGAAAACAGCAAAGTGTGGCGAATGATAAAAGACAGACACAGAGCAGAAAAACAGCTGGAATTACGAAAGCCGGCAAACTGACAACCCAAAGTCCACACACAGGCACTCATCTTACATATGTATGTATGCAAGTGCATATGAATGGCTGTGCGCACACTCACGCATTTATACATGTACACATATATTCATACATATTTATATTGTTAGTTTGTTTGGTCGCGAGTGGCCTAAGCATCGCAGCGTTGGTGGAGCTGATTATTTGCCTCACTGGCGAGACACATGTACATATGCATGTATGTATCTATGTATGTGTTTTAGCGGATGTTTTGAAAGCTCACTTATTACCGGTGCTTAAGAAAAATAAAATTATAGCACCGTTTTATAGGAAAGTTCAATACACAGAAACGATATAAGGTCTTCCTTTCTTACAGTTATGGACAGGACCATATGGTCCATTAACATTTTTTCGCTTACAAGATTATAGCCAAGTTAACAACAACACGCCAGTAGTTCTCCCTTTTCGCTATTTGGCGCCAATTCGAGATACTGCAGCCAAGTCCTTATCCACCTGATCTCTCCAACAGAATGGTGGTCTTGTTCTTCCTTCAAAGCTGAAGTGTTCTTTTCCATCCGGACCTTCCAGCCGATGTCTCTTGCCTATTCAGTTCAAAGTAGCACCAGTTGGCAAGAGTGATTCTGACATTTATTTGCTGTTGATACTAATTCCAAGATAGACGAAATTATCTACGACATCAAAGTTATGACTGTCAATAGTAACAACAGCAAGCCAAGTCGCGAAAACGTTACTGTTTGTTTGGCGACAGGAGATATTTCGTCACGGCCTCGTTCACAACCAATTCCATACGCTTCGCTCCAGTCTGGAGGAAGCAGATCTAACAGTGCGATTGTTGAGAACAATGATATCAATATCATCGGCTTATCAGCTTTACGCTTTAAAAGATAAGGAGTCGTCTTGTCCAAAACCTCCTTTGGTATAGAACGGCTCGGAGAGGGGAAAATCTGGTCGATAATTGATTTTCTGGGTCTAAAGCCACACTAATAAGGTCCAACCAGTTTGCTGACGGTGGGCTTCAATCTTTCGATGAGACCTTCTATACGATATTACAGAGGTAATACGGTAATTGAGCAGATTATATGGCCCCTCTTTTTGTGGATTGGGCAGAACGCGCTTAGATTCCAATCGCCGGTCATGCTTTCATCTGACCATAACTAGCAAAGAAGCTGGTATTTGAATTGCTCGGCTGGTAATCCATGGGTCCCTGCCGTTTTGTAGTTCATTAGGTAGGATATACAATGAAATATCCGAAAGTACTGACAGACGTATCCGATCGAGAAAGAACGACTTAAGGAAATCGCCAAGATCCTGTGCAAGAGCAACGAATACAAACAATGAAAATAATTAACTCATGCGAGTTGTCCGTCCAACTCTGTTAATCACGATAACATCGAAAAGCTTAAAGATTAAGCATTGTCTCGTTTCGTTTCGTCGTGTTGGCATCAGAGAGATAGAAGAGGATCCCAACATCTTTTATGGATTGACTCAACACATTTTCATTAATATTTTTGTATGAATGTGGTCATACTGTGTCTTTTCCAATAACGACGTCTAATAGAGGATAATTCTTAGATATATCCAAGAGGCACGACAACAAAGACAAACTACATACATTCATCAAACTCATCATTACTAATAACGAGAGGATGGTTTATGAATATGTCTGTCCACTATCCAACGAATGGCGCTCCAAAAATGAGGCAAAACTGAAAAAACCAAAATACGCTGAAGGAGATAGAAGAGCATCCCAGCCGAGGCTTATAACAGTGTATGAGAAATTAGATAATACAGATTTATGTTAAAACATGTGAAAATGTAGTTTTTTTTTCTCTTAATAATAAATAAACAAATGAGGAAATTTGTCTGTTACATAAAAACTGAGAGATTTATAAAAAGCTATTTTAAGAGTGATTGAATCGGTTAGCTTTGAACGCGAACTAGACGCAAATCAGTTCTGAACCACTTAATTTCCAGCAGGGTATAATTAAAAGACGAATATATGTGAATATGCAATATGTAACGTAGTTTCTTCGCGTAATAAATGAGTTAACCAGTGAAATGTCAAAACAACTCATCGATAGCAAAGAAATTTGAAATCGCCTTGTCAGTACATAGCTTTGGTGAACTTGGATTTTACCTACTGAAATCTCGGCTAATCCAATACGGCTGAGTGGCTAATCTAATCCCTTTTGATTTTCTGAAAATCACTGTTAATTCTTGGTCTATCGTTAGTATAAAAACCGTTACAGCAGTCGGTACAATTCTGTCAACGTCGACCAGTGAAAGTGATTATTGACGAACTGAAGAGAAATTGTAGCCAGGAGCCTCGGTTCAATCAATACAAAGTGGATAGTTTGGGTTTGGGCAGTGATTGACCAGGACTAATTTGTTGATATGGATGTGAATGTGGATTATTCATACAGCTTACCAAATATTTTAGGCAATGTGTCGACAGCGGCAACTTTGCGAGCTGAAGCAAGGTGCTGATTGCATTTTCCAAGTTTGATAACTTGATAACACCATCTCGTGATTATTTATATAGGTTGTCGTCAGATGTGCGTCTAATTGGTTGGAATGTGCCACCAGAGGAGATTCGTCATATACCGGATCATTGGTTGAAGTACCCGGAACCGCCAGCGCATTACCACTATTTGCTTGGTACGTTGTACCTCATTTTCACAACTATATCAATGTGTGGCAATGGTGTTGTCGTCTATGTTTTCTCTGCGTAAGTATAATGTACCGTCGTATTTATGAAGTACGTGTAAGTGTGTTGGAAAGCCCCGGATTTGCTTTCTTTAACAATTCACTTTTTACTTTTTTTAAGTGCCAAATCGCTGCGTACACCTTCCAACATATTCGTTATCAATTTGGCTATATGCGATTTCTTCATGATGATGAAGACACCTGTGTTCATCTACAATAGTTTTCATAGAGGCTTCGAGTTGGGCAATTTCGGTTGTCAAGTGTATGGAATACTTGGCGCCTTTACAGGCATCGGTGCATCCACAACGAATGCGTTGATCGCTTACGATCGCTATAACGTCATCACGAAGCCAATGGAGGGCAAAATGACACATGGCAAGGCGGTCATGATGGTTTTGTCTGTATACATCTATGCTCTACCGTTTGTGATTGGATGTGTTACTGAGACCTGGGGTAAATTTGTACCAGGTATGTGAATTAAGGCTAATATTTGTAATATAAAGGTGTATTCATTTAAAGGTTCCCTACTTAAAAAAGAAATACGCAGAAACTTTAGATTTAATGGGGAATGTTTATTAGCTGTTGAAAGAACATTCTTCGGCATTTATTTTTTGAAGATTATCTCTTTCAAATATTGACCGCGGCTACGTCTCAGATGGTCCATCTGTTCTGTCCAATTTTCGATAATTTGAGCATTTCGACTTGTACTTTGTCCAAGGCCTGAATCGATGCGAGGTTCTCCCTATAGACTTTAGTCCTTACATATCCCCACAAGAAAAAGTCTAACGTCGTGATATCACACAATCTTGATGGCCAATCGACCGGATCAAAAAGTGAAATTATCTACTCACCGAAGTGTTTTCTCAATAAATGCATTGATTAATGCGATGTGTTGGAAGTGTCTTCGTCATGTTGAAACCAAATGTCACCGAGATCAATTCAATACCAGGCACCAAATAGTCGTTTATCATGGCGCGATAACGGCATTATTTTTGAAGAAATATGGGCCGATAATTCCAAATGAAATGGGACTCATTGCTGAACGAAATTTGGCTCAAAATCAGATCTTCTTGGAACTTTTCAAGCGCCCACACAATGAAGGGACGACGCTTGGGAAAGTCGAGCGGCCTCATTTCCTGCCCAAGCTGTATTTTGTACACTTTCTCCTTAAGATCTCGACCTAAAATGTACCTAGTCATTCCAAGCTGTATTTTGTACACTTTCACCTTAAGATCTCGACCTAAAATGTACCTAGTCATTCCATATGTTAGTCCAAGCTGTTCCGAACGACGTCGAACCGACTCTCCACGATCTTCGTACACACTCTCAGCTATATTTTCTTCACTCCGCGCTCAACTTGGTCTATTCGCTCGATTCTTATCCAATAATGAATGCTGCTGGGTCTCAAGATAGGTGATGGTGTTGCTCAGTGGGCCAAATATGTCGAGCATAAGTTGAGCGAAACGCGCGAAACTCATTATTTACAAAACGTGAATTTTCGTAATAAAGTTAAACGCCTTGTAAACGTTGTTCATTCGGAAGTCTTTCACCAAGTTTCGAAAGTATTTAGACTTATAGTGAACCAAAAAAACTTGTGCAGAGAGATGTTTTGACTTTGAAGTGACTTAGCTCCTAAACTATTAATACTTTTGAATTGCTCCCAGAATTAAGAAAAAAATCCAGTTTTCTTCAAAAGACTCGTTTTCGAAGCTCATTAATACTTGATAGTATAAATCGACAACCATCAACAACCACAATCGACAACCAAATAAATTAAATTTGGACTCCTCTGTAAAAATTACAGAATCGCAAAATTCTTTATCATGTTAGGTATTTTTTTCGGAATATAAATAGTAAACGTTTCGCAATATGTCCCTTCGAAAAGTGTAGCTTTTTTCACGGTGTTTGCACTACAAAATTAGATGAAGCCAAATAGTTCCGTACAGTTTGAGATGGGATTCCAGCTTTCTCGAAGTTCTTGGCGATAGCGACATCGGATATTTTGGGATGTTCCTTGAAACCCCGAACAACTTTACCTTAAGTCTATGTTACGCCAATTTTTTGGGTCTTCCACTACCATGAAGTTTTCAAACTTCAACGTTTTTTTTAATTCAGTAATTATGTACTAAAAAGTAGAATGTAGTTTTTTGACAATATGTATTGCTTATTTCGGGTGTACTTTTATACTTTGTACCATTACTTTACTTTACAGGACCTGTAAGTCTTAAGATTTTTGTTGGTTCACCATTTCTTCTTCGAAAACTACTCCCAATTCCTTAATTATAAGTTACTGACCACGCAATGTATTTTAAAACAAAGTGACAGCCATGAAAGATATGACAGGCCAACTTCATGCATAAGTCAAGGACAGTGAGAGGCAAAATTAATGAAATTTCCGGTAAAAACTAGTTACAGTAACTTTTTGTATCGGTATCTGCTTCAATTCAGGTGTAAGACGATTCAAGGGATCTCACGAATCAGTTTAAGGTTGCGTAATTTATTAGATATTTTGATATATTAGTTTGTCAAAAAAGTGTTGCGGCATTTTCGCTACTTGGCGCTGAGAGCACGTAGTTCTAGTTTTATTCGTCGCATCGGGTCATGCTATACCTTTTTGGAAAACTCATTTCACGCGCTAACACGTGTTTGATTGATTGTCGTTTCTTTTAAGTCGTTCGTGAGTTACAACATCGCAAACGTGGAGCAAAATAAAGAGAAAATACGGCATATTTTACAGTACTGCTACGATAAAGGCAAAAATGCATCTCAAGCCGCCAATAAGAGACCGGCATAGTAGCAGCCGTAGCATCGGTCAAGAGCTGGGCGTCAAAAAGAATTTTATGATTATTTTATATTTTGACAACCAATTGTTAGACCTAAAAGACTACTTCTACTTTCGTATTCCATGTTTTTTTTTTTCAAATTCATAATTTGAGTTTTTACTTAGTTGGTTTAAGGTAGCTATTAAGGTAGCGGTAGATCCAAGCCATGAATATCGAAAACACATTGAGCGGTTTAGGCGTGGTTTTTTTGTTTTCGGCTCGTTTTTTCTCCTCCATTCCGATAATTGTTTATTTTTCTGCATGTCAAACTCATAAATCCGTATCTCATCGGCAGTTATAATACTCTCCATGAATGTGAGGTCGCATTTCGCATGATCAAGCATGTCCAAAGAGACATGTTTACGGGACTTCTTTTGAAAAAAATTCAGCTGTATCGGGATTAGTCGAGCAATCACGGGTTTCAAAATCAAAATGAGTCGAGTAAGAACATACCCAAAATATCCACCAAAAACATTCGAACGGACTGGAAGAGAAACAGAAGGGAAGAGATCAATAGCTCATTTGCTATCTCTCTAACACTTGCCTGGCGATTTTCAAGCACCCTATTAGTATTTTCATCAGCTGTGCATATAGCAAGCCAATATGTAAGCTAACTTCATAAAATTCAAGGAGCGTCCATTTTTTAAAATAAATTGTTGTTTTGAAAATAAAAAGAACAAATCGGGTCAATCACGTCCGAACCCACATATATCCTTAATAAGGATTCTCAAGCTCGCTGTTGACTTTTTAATGTTTACATATATAGGTCAATATATGATATATTATATGGTAGTTGACCTATGGCCTATAATATAACTTAATAAGATACCTAATAGGATTTTAACCATTTATTGTTTCGTCGAATAATTATCAATTCACTTACAACCACATGAACCATACATGCTGACTATTAAAACTCAAAAGAAATGACATAACAACTCTAGTAGAACTGCCAACTAGTCACTTTTTATATCGGGAACCGCCTACATTGACTACTGATATCGATGTCATCGGCATACGTCAGCAGTTGAAAATTTCACCTTGTCTATTTAGCTATGCAACTCGTATTATTTTCTCCAGCAATATATTGAAAAAGTCACGCGAATGGAACTCTCCTTGACATTAATCCTCGCTTGGTATCGAACTACTCGGAAAGATCCTTCCCGATCCTGACTGAGCTTTTGCTGTTACTCAACGTCAGCTTCCACAACCGTATTAGTTTTGCGTGGATACCAAGTTCAGACAATCAGCATAAAGGCAGCTCCTTTTTGTACTGTAAAAAGTAGCTTTGTAATCGACAAAGAGATGGTATGTGTCGATTCTCATTCCACGAATATTTTCCCAGATGTGGCGCATGCTGAATATCTAGTCGGTTGTTGATTTTCCAGGTCTAAAGTCACACTGATAAGGTCCAATCATTTTGTTGACGGAACCTTATATGCGATGTTAAGGAGGTTTATCCCACGGTAGTTGGCGGAGATTGTCGGGTCTACTTTGTTGTGGATTGGGGAGAGCACACTTTCGTCCGACCATATTTTACAAAGAAGCTGATGCATGCTCCTTATTTTCATTATTACATTACAGCACGCTGGAGAAGTGTTCCTTGCCTAATTTCACTAGGCTCTGGCTATCAGTCCCTAGATCACCTCTAAAAGTTCAACAAGAGTATGTTGCAGTCTTGAAAAATTATGTTAGTCGCCGCATCTTTTCGTAGAATTTTCGGCCCTGTCGGCCTGCTTCCCAAGCTCTACGTACTAACGCATTTCGGCCTCAGTTTTTATCTGCGTCTCGCTTCCTTCTTCAACTCTCGATATCTATCCTACCCCGCTCGTGTTGTGATCGACCGCAATATTGCGATGTAAGCTGCCTGCGACACGACAGTCCTCATCATATCAGCGTTTTTCGACCTTTACGGAAACCAGCTGTGCATAAGGAGTTTGAAATGCTATCCCACAGTTTCCTTATACCAAGTTGCTAATGAGTGCTCTCAGAGAGAAGGTGTGCAAGTCGAGTAGAAAACCATTTTGCTGTCCGTTGTGATAGTAGCTTCTCGGCATCGTAACTTTCCTCTATTTTTTAACTGAATTATTTTGATGCCAGCAGAAAACCATATTTCGGGCCCCTACTCACGTGCCCAGGGTACGCAGCGCGAATATGGGCGTTATTCATGTTTTTCTTTTATTTCAATGGTGTATAGCATTTTTCAGTCAAGCTGATAGGTGTTATAGGGTCAAGGTCGGATTTTCTAAAAAAAATATGTAACAAAAATGTACACATTGCGATAAAGGCTTAGAAATACTCGAGAGAGAGGTAGAAGATTCACCTACACCTTTACTTACCACAATTAGGATTGAATAATTATGTAGTGTGTGGGATTCAATCAACAGCTGTCCATCTCATTTTCGCCGCTTAGAATAGATTTAAGTCACACTCTTGGCATTGACTGCTCTTTGGCCCTATGGAATTCGGAATTTGTCAACTTGCAACATTTTCTCTGCCACAACGCCGATTAAGCGGCACGCAAGCAAAGTGTTGCACAAAATGCAATAGCAAATTTAATTAGAATCATTTTAAGCCAACCGCAATCACACGATGCCTATGAAACTATAAAAGCCCATCACATTCCTTAGTGTTACTCAGCGTCGA